TTTAAATCCGCCAACTGCTCTGAACAATAAAAAAAATCCATTCTGTTGCTCCATCAAAATTCAAGTGATCATCTCCATAATATTCAAACGGAAAAATAATCCTTGTTTGCAGTAGATTACTGCATGCCTCGTGAAGCTGTCCATGGGACTGCGGCACGAGATATAATCGAGAGGGAAAAACCGTGGTCACGGTTTCATTTATATTGTACCCATAAATCTAACAACGTGGTCCAGCATTAACCCTTCCTATGGACTTCCGGTGGGACGCGAATTCCCCTCATTCTACCTCCCCCCTCTCCCTCCATCGCTCTCTCTATTCCCGACCCATTCCTGTTTGGCTGTTTCTCTCCCCAGCAGGTTCGATAAAACCCAGACAACTTCGATGCTTGTTAAATGTATTATTTATCCGAAGTGGATAAAGTGGTGGGAATAGTCGGGAGCAACTGAAAATTCAGGAAATGCACCATTGTTTGCGTGTTTACGGAATGGGATAATCAAAGTAATAGTCGATTATTTGATTGTTAATTTAGCGAAATATTGCAAAAATGTTGAATTTCAAATTTTAATCACGAAAGAAATCAACTTCTTGAATTGATATTAATAATACGATTGAATAAAGCGTTGACCTGAATCGAGCCGCTAGCTTGACTTGATATTGTTTGGATATACACGGAAAAAAAGGAACGGTGGAAATACTGAGATCATAGGTATTTCGCCTGAGATTCGTACGAAGAGGGTGCTTCGGCAGTCAAACGCCGGCATCGTAACGATTTTTCCCGTCTATAAAAACACAACCGTTTTGTGAATTGAATCATATGATGATCAGTAAATGATTCACATTAAATAGGGAAAAGGCAGGAGATTCTCAGTTATAATACCCCGAGACCTTCAAAATTATCGGAATATTTCCCGATAGCTTCGTTGCAAACAAATGAAAGTGTCACTTTTTGCAGGCTAAAAATCCCGAGTGCGCAGCACGAGAAATTATCAAGCTTTTCACCGAATAATCGACTTCTCATTAAACTTCCTAATAATTAACGGTAGAGAACGGAATATTGTCTTGCACTGCGCAAGGAAAACGACGAGATATACCTGGCGAAGCGCTCCGCTCATACGGATCTCCGGCTAAATACCTGCAATCTCAGGCTCTCCGCGGTTCCCTTTCTTTCCGTGTACTCAGTACAAGTGAAGAAATCGAATTGCAATGAGTAAAGTCTCGACTTAATTCAATCCTGCTCAGTTTAAGTAGAAACTCGCCGTTGACTCAAGATTTGTATTTGTGTACAGATATTTTATTTGTTCGATTTATTTAAGTTATTGCAATTTGGATTTTGTTTATTATTAGTAAATTTGTCAATGCAGCGAAGTCGATGGGTCGATGAGGTCAAGAATTCAAGTCAAGAATTCGAAATCAAAGAATTGAATTCACGTATCAGTATCGGTATCATGTAGCCTAGCTACACGACGTTCCTATGCAGTTAATGGGGGGATTCCCACGAGACGGATCTCCACGGGAATTTTCTAGGTTGGAAAACTTCTGGATCACAAAATAGTACATTACGCAATGGTGATACTGCCTGCTGTCCGCACGTGTTGCGTATACTATTGTATATGATAAGTGCGTGATGAAGTCTGGGGACGGAGGGGGGGGAGAGTGGGGGGCGAAGCCCCCCACGAGGATAGGGGGTCCAGGGGGCGAAACCCCCGGTGGGGGGGTTCGCCCCCCCTCCCCCACTGCAGAAAAAAGGTCATATTTATTTTAAAAAATAATTATAAAAAAGTGTGATTTAAAAATTATGCGGAACTTCTGAAGAAAAAATTAATTATATTCATTAAATATGTAGTTCAAAAAACTTGTAAAGTATTTTTAATTGAAAAAAATTAATTATAATAATTACAAAATACAATTTTTAAAAATCATTAAGAATTCGCAAAAAAAAGAAAGTTATAATTATAAAAAAATATGATACAAAACGTTATATTTTTCTATAGAAGTTGTTGGTAGCGTCTGATTTTTGGCCTTTTGGGCATTTGCTAAAATATCTGATGGAAGATTTTCGTTGTTGTTATCAAAATCATCATAACGGATTCTCTTCTGCGGAGTTTTTGGCGATCCTGCTGTTGCTTCATTGGAGAATATTTTATTTTCATTTTCTTCAAATGTCACATCACCAAAATAAACTGCTCATCATCAGTAAATAAATTCTCCTCACTGCCTAACTCTTCATCACTATCAGGAATTATACGATTTTGGCTCATTTTATCTGCTTCGAAAATCACCTTTTCATTTTTCAGTCATTCCATGTATTCACTATTCGGAGGTTAGATTTCCTTCCTTGTTATTCTCTTTTAATAGGTGATGCGCATGCGCGTCATGCGTTATTTCGGGTTTCAGTTGACTATAGTCAACTGGAAAGTAGCGGGTTTCAAGCGCCTACCCACACTCAACTGTTAGAACAGTGGGTTTCAGTTGAGTGTGGGTAGGCGCTTGAAACCCGCTACTTTCCAGTTGACTATAGTCAACTGAAACCCATGCGGTTACACGCACGTATCATATAAAAAATATACCTGAATTGAATTAAACATGAAATGTACTTGATTCAAGTATATTATTCTTGATTCGAGTATAAAATATACTTGATTTAAATATATTTTATACTCAATTGAGGGATAGGTATTACAATTCAGAGATAATTCTATTGTATCAGTCCGGGTTGTAGCAAACCCTCTTAAGTGTAATATAAGGGTCAGCCACTAAGTATTAGAATATTAGGGTCAAAACGTTAGAGTCAGAATATAAAAGTAAAAAAAGTGGGTGTCAGATAATGAGTGTCTAAATATAAGTCTTCATATGACTTATATTATCTTCTGGATCAAAAATTCCCTATATACGTGGGGAAGCCGGACGACCCAATTCAGTTTCGAATCGGTATTTGAAGTGTTAACATCGAAGAGGAAAATGGCGAAGAGAAAAGTGTCCAAAAGGGTCAGTGGTCAGTAGTGGTCTGTCTCAAGTTTCGTGAAATACCACTTGACGTGAATATGTAAGAAAAACCAAAATTCATAGCCAAGTCCAACAAAAATGACAACTGGTTCGCGAAAAGCGAATTCTCTAATCGCCCCGCGCACCCCAATTAACTCCGGCCACACGCTAGGTTGGAAAAACTTACTTCCATCATGAGACGATATTTGCCATCTCGAAAAATACAGAAAGGTCACAATATTGACAGACGTCTTCACCTTGGCCCTTACCTCCACTATTTACCGACTCCCCAAGCTCTTCGCAATCGCGTTTTCCCCGAGAGCGCCTGAAAAAATCACGAGTATTTGCGGCGCCATGGGAACACTCACTCCCCAATTATCTCATTACTCTCTCCGTTTTTAATGATTTATAATCCCTTTTAATTCCCCTATCGCCCCCTCATTCGTAATACATAATTCGACGCGAGCGAATAATGAACTTCGTGTAAATATCCCGTCAGCCATTCAATTTGTCTCATAATTAACACGACAATTACCAAAACACGTGTTCCAATCAATTGTTCATTTTCCGTCCTCCGAGGTCTTCTAATTATGTCCACAATATTCCCACACACGAATGATTGATGATTATTTTGTCAATAATTATCTTTAATTATTTCCAATCACAATTTACTCGAGAAATAATTAACGACTAAATTTATCCATTTTTCAAACTATTTTACAGTTTTGTTTTCTGTCTATAGAGGGGGTGAAAATTCAGACGACGGTTGGGGGAGGGGTCATAAGGGTCAAGGTCATGAGGACCATGAGGGTCAGAACCTTATATATATGCAGCATTCATGGAGGACAATGTCTAATAATTTTCACGAATGAAGGACATAAGTTTGATAAGGGGCGTGAGGTTCATTCTCATAAGGGTCAAAACCTTGTACATCCAGTATTTAAATGGGAAAGAATGTCAAATATTTGGAACTAATCACGGTTAGAGGGTTGTTAAGGGCCATCAAGATGAGGTCATTAAGGTCATAAGGGTCAGAACCTATTACCTCCAGTACTTATCGAAGTGAATGTCAAATATTTGCAATGAATAAGGATTAGAGGTTTCAGAAGGGCCATCAGGAAAGGATCATAAGGGTCTTAAGGGTCCAAACCTTAGATACCCAGGATTTATAGAGGTTGCAATCAATTATGTGTCACGAATAAGGATCAGAAATTTGATAAGGGTCTTGACGATCAGGATTATGAAGGCCGTAAGGGTCAGAACCTCATACATCCAGCATTTTAGGAGTGAATGTCAAATATTTGTGAGGAATAAGGGTTAGAGTTTTGGTAAGGGTCATCCGGTTATGATCAAAAGGGTCAGAACCTTATATATACGCAGCATTTATAGGAATCGAAATCAGTCATGTGTCACAAATAAGAATCATCACTTTGATAAGGGTTTTAAGGGTCGGGGTTATGAAGGGCGTCAGAGTCAGAACCTCATACATCCAACATTTACATAAGTGAAAGGCAAATATTTACAACGCATAAGGGTTACAGGTTTGGTAAAAGTCGTCAGGATAAGGTCATAAGGGTCATAAGGGTCAAAACCTTGGACACGCAACATTTATAGAGGTCACACTCGGTTTTTCTACAAAAAAATTATGAAAAATCGTGAAATATCTCTCTTGATTTTTATTTCCTCATGCCAGAAATTCCGAATTTTACTCTTTGTCAGAGCGAAAAAATTTCCACTGCACCAAAAAAGAAAATATTTGTAACAAAAATACACATCACATAGGCCATACGGGAAATTGAAATTTTTCCAGGCATGAAAAATAGCGAGGACCACTTGATTTCCCCAACTATCCGTGCTACCTATCTCCCAACAATTTTGAATCAAAATTTCAAACTAAAATGGAGATTTTTTTTCGGTTGAACCAGTAAAAATTGTTATTATTCTTCATTCCCCTTTATATATTGAAATGCATTTGAAACTGGGAGTAACTATTTGAATTTGTTCTGTGTGTTTTCAGAGCCATGACAGCTGGCAGGGACACGATGGCGATCAGGTGAGCATGAGAATCTCTTCCCCACGTGAATTTTTAGGAATTTTAATCGGTTTGTGTTGCATGAATGGGTCTGGTGCATGAATAGGTGTTTTAGGTCGGGATTGCTTGGGATTCTCTTTGGGAAATTTAGTTCTTCTGTTTATGAATCTTTTGGTATTTAAAGGATATCATCTGATACCTGGACTTGATAATGTTTAATTAATAATCAATTGTTTCATAATTCTATGCCTTTTGAATGTTTTTAGTTGAAGAATCCGAAGTTTCTTAATTTCAGAACTTCTTTCTCTTGGAATGAGTCGGTTCTTGGTACTAAATTCTAATAATTTTTTCTTTTGAAATTGATTAACTTGTTTCTTCAACTCAATACTATGACTTCGAGAACCAGGAATTTCTTAAAATCAGGCACTTGCTTCTGAGAAGTAGAAAACGACGTAACATCACAAAAATAATTTCTGGAGCCAAACATGATATATGGCTCAAGACATTAGCTCTTCAAGACAAAACGCTTGTGACGAGAATTCCATGAAGCGTTCATGACTGGAACATGAAGACGTTGAAGTGAGAAATCCTTGGCTCAAGAAATCGTTTTCTTTGAGTCAGGCAATGAGACAATGACTCAAAATACTAGAATCTTTCACCCAGTGAATCAGGACCAGGGAGTTTGATATTGAATGAACACACAATCCATGCAGAGGAAAACCTCCAGACGTTTCTCAAATACGACCGTCACTTTCTTTCTTTCAATCGAAATGAGTTCAAAAGAAAGAAATAACCTCACCTCCTTATTTCAGGCTTTCCTCGTGTCAAGAATATTATCTCATTTCGAAAAAAAAATATTAATTTTCGAAGAGCAACGATTCTTTGTCTGAAATCTTTTATGGATTGATCGAATAGATGTGCTATTTTCTGAGCTCAAGAAATCCTTTTCGTGATATTAGATCGTTATTCCTATCAGTGTATGGCAGAAATAATTTCTTGAGTCAAATATATCATCTCTCGAGGACAAATCTCTTGTGACAAGGATTCCATAGAATCAGTCAGCCCATGTACGAATTCCATAAAGCGTTCATAACTTGAACATGAAGATTTCACGATGAAGTGAGAATTCCGTGGCTCAAGAAATCAATTACTTTGAGTCAGAAGATGAGAGAATCACTAAAAATACTAAAAGCTTGGACCCAGTGAGTCATGATTCAGGGGCTTTAGTATTGAATGAATACACAATTCATGTAGAGGAAAACATTTCTCCAAACATTTCTGAATAGGACCGTCGCTTGCTCTCAATCATAATGAGCTCAAAAGAAAGAAATAACCTCATCTCCTTACTTAACCTCATCTCCTCAAGAATATTATCTCATTTCGAAAAGAAATTAATTTTCCATGCAATATCGTTCTGCTTAATCCAACAATTCCTTGTCTGAAACCTATTCTGAATTAATCGAATAAATGTGCTGTTTTCTGAGCTCAAGAAATTATTTTTGTGATATCAGGTCGTATTTTGTCTCCTCGAAGAAATGAATCACATGAATGCACCGTAAAATTCTCCTATCTTCCTAAAAAATGGCCTCATCATAAATATAACAGCAGAGTCGATTATTCACAAATAATTCAAGGGGTTGTTCTTATTTTTCCACTCCCCTCTCCCATGCCCTCCACCGCAGCTACTTTCCTTTGCTATCGCAGAACTGACTCACCCAGTGATAAATGTAGTTGTGCCTGGAAAAGCATCGATCTTGCCTTATCTCGTTCAGATTCCTCGCTGAAGCGGTTGCTTCGACACTCGGGACGAAATCAACTCCCCGAAAAAAATGCCAAAACGGGAAACAAAATTCAAGGGGAAACCTTCTAACCATTATCGGGAGAAAATGGACAGCGAATTCTTCTCGAAAAATCGAGGGAAAAGGAACAATTTAGTGTTTTTTGTCATCGATGGATGAAAAGAGGAAGGAAAAGAGTGGAAAATAGTGCTGTTGCAACGTTTGCCTTTCGAAACTTGTAGAGGTCCTATTTATAAAATGTGAAAGCTTCGTGAAGTTGTTCTATATCGATGAATCGAAACTGCCTGGTGGATGATCCTCAATTCCGATTGGTCAATGAGCCGCGTGAAGTAAGTCGCCAAAAACGCGCTATTTTCAAATTCTTCAAACTCACAAATTATTCTTCGCGTCATAATTGTTAATTTTATCATGCGCGAAATTTATTAGTTCTTCCTTCTTGGATTTTCATTCATCGTGTATCTCTTTTCCTCTTTTTACGAATGACAAATTTGATCGGTTCTGTTGTTTGATTTTGATATCTCTCTATATAAAAGTTGAAAAAATTCGAGAAAATTCGAGAAAATTTTTAAAAAATAATGAGGTAGTAGATCACCTCGCGCAGTCTGTTTATTTATTAACACGAAAGGGACTTAGGGTCACAAGGATCAAATGTGCCATAAATGTCTTCTTGAATGTGGACTTATTGGACTCGTTGAGATCGAAAACCAAATGAGAATTGGATTTTTTTTTCTATCACAAGATCATTGACAGTTCGTAGTATTGAACATCAAAGAGCATTGAAGTGTTCCGTGTTTAGGAAGGGGAGACGTCTCCATTGGCACTCTGCAGAGTCTATGACAAGTTCCACCGTTCAACAAAAGGGACTCTTGTCTCGTGAGAGTACATTGAATAGATAAAGCCAATGGATTTTGCTAGCAGCAGCCCTTGTTCAACCATTCATCCGTAGTTTTCTCTAGTGTTCTATCTTCTTTTGATTGTTTCTCTTGTTTTTTTTCTACCTATGGGTCACGAGTCCGCAGGGCCCTTTGTATCGAGGGATGAAAGCAGCCGTTGCTCTCAATCCCCTTGAGTCTATGAAGTGCAGTGGCAGTAGGATGTGGAAATATTTAGGAATGAATTTAAGGTGAAAATTTGATGCTTTTGGAGGGCTGTTTTCATTCTCGATCGATGCTGACAGAAGAACAGATAGTTGCAGCTTCTGGCTCTTGATGTTTGATGTTGGGAGTGAAAAGAGATTGTTGAACCATGATGATGGGTTTATAGAATCTACTAATAGAGTTGAAGTGTCAAAGCTTGTGAAGAAAAATATAACGTTGTGACGATTTCGATTCCGATGATGATGAATCCAAGTTGGTTGCATAGATGTTCAGACGTAGCATAAGCTACTTGAAATTCCTCGTTAATCGAAGTAGAAAATTCTCACTTGATAACACGATCCGACAAAATACGCGAAGGTTCGGGCCGGAGGATGAAACTTCCCTAGTGGAAAATCCAAAATTATAGCGTAACATACCTGATCAGTGTCTGATCAACACCTGCCCTAGTGGAAAAACCTAAGACAGAGGCGTAACACGCCTGATCAGAATTTCGGATCGGACTTGATCAGTTTCTGATCAAGACCTGAACAGAATTTCCACTCGGGTATGAGTCAATTTGAGAGTAAAATTCGTAAGTGTCCTGGTAGCTCATATGGTAAGAGCACCCGACGCGACATTGGGAGGTCCCGGGTTCGCTTCCCGGCTAGGAAGTTACTAATTTTTTCTCTCAAAAAAATTAAATTTAATTAATGCCTAATGATGGAAGGCGGAGAAACCCTAGAGGAAAAACCTAAGGCAGACGCGTAATACGCCTGATCGGAATTTCGGATCGGACTTGATCAGTTTCAGATCAAAACCGGAACAGAATTTCCACTCGGGTATGAGTCAATTTGAGAGTGAAATTCGTAAGTGTCCTGGTAGCTCAGATGGTAATAGCACCCGACGCGACATTGGGAGGTCCCGGGTTTGGTTCCCGGCTAGGAAGTTACTAATTTTTTCTCTCAAAAAAATTAAATTTAATTAATGCCTAATGATGGAAGGCGGAGAAACCCTAGTGGAAAAACCTAAGGCAGAGGCGTAACACGCCTGATCAGAATTTCGGATCGGACTTGATCAGTTTCTGATCAAGACCTGAACAGAATTTCCACTCGGGTATGAGTCAATTTGAGAGTGAAATTCGTAAGTGTCCTGGTAGCTCAGATGGTAATAGCACCCGACGCGACATTGGGAGGTCCCGGGTTTGATTCCCGGCTAGGAAGTTACTAATTTTTTCTCTCAAAAAATTAAATTTAATTAATGCCTAATGATGGAAGGCGGAGAAACCCTAGTGGAAAAACCTAAGGCAGAGGCGTAACACGCCTGATCAGAATTTCGGATCGGACTTGATCAGTTTCTGATCAAGACCTGAACAGAATTTCCACTCGGGTGGCTAAAATTTCCACTCGGATATGATTCCATTTGAGAGTGAAATTCGTAAGTGTCCTGGTAGTTCAGATGGTAAGAGCACCCGACGCGACATTGGGAGGTCCCGGGTTCGATTCCCGGCTAGGAAATTACTAATTTTTTCTGTCAAAAAATCAAATTCAATTAATGCCTAATAAAGGTAGGCCGCGAAACCCCAGTGGAAAATCCAAAATTATAGCGTAACATACTTGATCAGAATCTGATAAGGTAACCTGATCAGTGTCTAATCAAGACCTGACTAAAATTTCCACTCGGGTTATGCTACTCGATAGATTTTTCGTCGCAGAATCCGACTCTGCTTGTTAAAATGCGTTTAAACGTATGGTGACCAAGAAAAAAAATGTTGACCCTCCAGTGGTCGCACTATTGTCTGAACGCCGCCGTTTTTGTTATTTTCTCGATATCTCTAGAAATGTGATGAATTACGCTCTGCCTATTTACGAGTTCCTCAAATTATATGTCCTGATGAGATTAAACACGGTAGGGTTGCCCTACACAGACAATTTTTTTCTCAGTTAATTTTTTTGTCAACCGCGGTTAGCGAGAATGAGCGCAGCGCTCACCGTGCGACCACTCTCGTAGTGGAAATTTGACGAGCGGTGTTGCCGACCCTCGTAGTAATCCCATGCAGCGTGTGCGGAGTGGGGGATCGCTGGCCGGTGATATGTTTATAGTGTCGTATGGCTCTGGCACCGCTGCGCTCGAGAATATACGGACGGCG